TATATATCACAAGATCATGAGAACGTTCGTCCTAGTTCAACGTTGAATGTTCATCCCTGGTATCCGTTGTATCCGCCCTGGAATCCGCCGGCACCATAGCCACCCCATCCAGTAGGCTGGGCCGTGAGCGGCGTCGCTGATAAGGGGCGTCAGTATCTATACCAACCCATGATGAGGATGAGACGCACTGTTCGTCCTGAGAGCATCGTACTTGTTCGCGCCCTGCGGCGCGCTGTCATCTCCAAACGTGCCCGCCTTCATCTGTGCGAACACATTCGCAGGCGAAGTGTCCTTCGGCGGCGGTTGCCCGAAACCGGGGTTGAAGCCCGTAGGCTGCGGCTGGATACCTCCTCCGAGTCCGAAGTTGCCCTGCTGCGCGAACGACGGGAGCGGCGGGACAGGCGGCGGCGACTGCGATACGCCAAAGCCTGGGTTGAAACCAGTAGGCTGAGGTTGCAACTGAGGCTGGAACCCTGTCTGTTGAGGCTGGAAGCCAGTCTGCTGCGGTTGGAAACCAGTAGGCTGAGGCTGGAATCCCTGCGGTTGGAAGCCTGTAGGCTGAGGTTGGAACGGAGAGGGGTTGAACCCGGTGGGTTGAGGTTGCAATCCGCCTGGTGAAGGGTTGAAGCCAGTCGGTTGGGGTTGGAAGCCGGTCGGCTGCGGCTGGAAACCGGTGGGTTGCGGCTGGAAGCCCGTTGGCTGAGGCTGAAGACCTGGAGAAGTCGTAGGTACGAAACCGCGGAAGCCAGTCTGCGTGGGTACGAGCGGCTGAAGGAGACCTTGGTTCTGAGGTACAGGCGCCAGAGGTCCGCGTGGGCCATTGAGGGGTGGCAACGCGCCCGTGGCTTGCGCCTGCAGATGAGCGCCGAGCGGTGATGGCGAGCTTCCCACGCCCAGACCAGCCGCATAGCCAGCAGGAGGCGGGGAGGCGACAGGCGGGGTGGGCGCTGCAGGCGGTGCAGCGGGCGAAGCCACACGAAGTTGGCTGAGACGAGCGAGCTGATCGAAGATATCGCTCTCGGTTGTCTGAGAGAGACCCTTCTGTTGCTGCGCGGGAGCAGCGCTGACAGAACGCTGGGCGATGGAAGGCGCGGGTGGTGCAGGTGGAGGGGTAGGTGCGGCCGGCGCTGGTGGCGGCGCGGGCGCAGGAGGTGCTGATGGAGCGCGGGTAGGCTGAGCATTGGGCGTCGGGGTCATAGGTTTCGTCGAGCTCGGCCTGTTCGTCCATGCATCATCATCGAACCCACTCGAGACGGGCGGAGTCGCGACAGAGCTTGTACGCGGAGGAAGTTGCTGCACCGGGCTGGCGGCTGACGGACTACCAACAAGCTGGGGTGTGCTACCACGCGCAATGGTCTCGCTCGCGGTCGATAACCCATCCAGCCCAACGGCATTGGGAATCGTCGAACTCTTCGTGGGACGTCCACGGCGTGTGTTGTTCTTGAGCTGACCGCCGGCCGTCGTAAACAAGTTCGGAGCACCAGGCGAGGGTGTCGAGCGCTTGGGTATCTCGCGACCTTCCTGTAAAGCGCGCGCAATGGCCTCGTCCTGCTTGATCTGATCGGAGTCGTCACGCTTGTCCTTCTCAGGCTTGGGAGGTCCACGGTCTGCGATAGCTTTGCGGACACGAATGATGTCGCCCTCGCGCAGCCCTAGCGAGCGCATTGTGCTCTCCGTGATGTCGGGCAGAAGCGCGGCGTCGATCTTGTCGCGTTCGAAGGAAGCGGCATAGCGCGTGCAATCGTCGATATCGCAGCCGGAGTTGAGGAAGAACTCGAACCAGTCGATACCGGGCCCCTTCTTCTTTGGCGGTGCCTGCTGAGGTGCAGCCTTGTTCACAGAGCTCGAACTCGAAGATGCAGAAGGACCACTGATGAGAGACTGCCGCCTGTTTGCGAGCGGCTCATCGTCCTCTTCCGAGTTGCGCTCTCTCTTGCGCGGGTTCGTAGCCTTGTCGATATACGCAATATCTTCGATGCTCATCTTCTCGCTCGGCACCTCGATCACGACGCCGTTGACCTTGTGCAGACGAATCATGCCGTTCTTGTAGCCTAAGAACGCCGCCTCGACACGGAACTGCCCAGTACGGTCCGTCCAGACGCGTGTCTTGTCTGCCGGAGGAGGACCACGCTTGTCAATCGAGCCCTTCGACTTGTGGGCGGCTTCCTTCTCCTTCGCACGACGCTCCCGTTCCTTCTCCTTTGCGCGACGCTCCTCCTCGGCAGCTGCACGCTCGCGTTCGGCTTCGCGCTTCGCCCTCTCGCGCTGCTTGCGTTCCTCCGCCTCCTGCTTCGCCTTGCGCTCCGCGGCTCTTGCAGCGGCAGCCGCCGCCGCCTCACGCTCGGCCTCTGCCGCTCTTTCGTCCTCGCTGTCGTCGTCGGGTACCGGGGCAGCCGCTGCCTTGGCCTTCGCTGCACGCGGCGGGCCGGTGGGCTCGATGTACGACGCAGGAACAACACCCTCATTGCCCTTCGTATCGCGAACCTTCCACCACTCCTCGCTATCACGCTCGACAATCCATATCTTGTCGCCCTCATCGACTGAAAGCTCATCTTCACCAGCCGCTTGGAAGTCGTATAGTGCGATAGCGGGCTCGCCATCCTCGTCGTCCTCATCGTCGGCGGCATGGGCGTGTCCGTTGGTATGCGTGGGCGTCGGCTCGTCATCCTCTTCAGGTTCGGGTGACGCGGGTATTACCGCAGGCCCCGACTCGGCGAAGTGCACGCCTCTGGTTCGCGCAGGACTCGTAGACGCCTCAGGTGCAGCAGCAGCTTCGTCCTCATCCAGACCAGCAGCCTTACGGCTCTTCTTGAGCTTGTACAAGATATCCTCAGCCGTATCGCGATCGCCACAGTTGAAGTGCGTTTCCTGGCCGTTGAGCGAGATGTACAAGTGCTTCGGCTTATTCTCGTCGAGACGCCAGTCGCTGACTTGAGCGAGTTGAACCTGCTGAACAGGCGCCTTATCGCTTTCGCTCGCGAAGAACACTGTGCCGTTGCCGACACCGAGTGTACCCTTCTTCTTCTTGCCCTTCTTGTCAACCTCGGAGACGGACCAGGTTTGCACTGGGTCCGGCGCTTGAGCGGGCCTTGCTGATCTCGATGACGCGACGAGATCGGCCGGGTCGTGGTATGCGGATACCGGGCGCTGGGGCTGGTCGATTGTTAGCAGGGCAACTTCCTGAACGGCAGGATAGACGTACAGAGTCGGGTATCACGATGTTCGCAAATGACGGGGCAGCAGCCGGCGCTTCCTCCTCGGCTTCGGCAGCGCCTTCACCAGCCTAAAGATATATTGAGAATATGATCAATTGATCGACAGTGAGCCGACGTACCTCTTCGACGTAGTTGGCAGGTACATATCCAGCCTGGGAGCCGTCCTCCGTCTGTACAAGCAGCCAACCATCCTCTTCTGCTCCGAACGCATGTAGCATCTGGTCCTCCGCGATGCTAATCTCTCCATTGGCCTGAGCCGCGTACTCGTACTGTGCCTTGACCACGGTCGTGTGCGGCGCCTAGAAGCGTGGGAAGTAAGTATGAATGACTTGGATATAACGTAGAGAGCGAGGAGAGTGTGTAAATGAGATCATCAATGGGAATGACAATATCGACACTCCCTCTCAGGGCAGGCACCGTTATGACGGCATGACGCGAAGGTCTTGCTCGTCGAGTGCGGCGGCGACGAAGATGGTGCCAGCGACACTCCCGCGCATGAGATATCAATATGCGATACATGACCTCAACACAATCGCGAGTGGGTCGATCCGAACCAGACGTCATAATACTCACAGGCTCGACATATGCGGCGGGAACGAGACCGGAGGGTCCCTCCTCGTCTGGCGAAGCACCCTTCACCTTCACCTTCCACCAGCTTGGAGAGTATCAGCTAACGTGTATATGTAGCTTCGACCAGAAATCACTTACTCATCGTCGGTGCGCTCAAGTAAGAATAAGATCTGGTCCTCCTGGATCTTGACCTCGTCCTCCGACTGAGGCTCGTAATCGTACGAAGCCTTGAGCACAGCGAGATACTGCTCCAGCTCCGCCATAATATCCGATAACCGTGCGCGCCGGTGAGAGTGTCCGTCCGAGGGTAATGGTCGACGTTGATGGTCGAGTTCTGCTCAGGGCCGCCGCCCTCCACGGCGCGTTCCACGCAGGCCCGTCGGCTCGGGCCACACGGCCCGACACACCCGAAAAGCCCGCATTCCGTACTTGTCAACATTGCTTTGACGCCACTCTCCATGCATGTTGCCTTCGACCGTCATGGCGTCTGTCTTGGTCTTCGAGCCTCGCATGTCCGCTTACGTGTCCGTACGGAGCACTTCCAGAATGCACAACCCTATAAACGTGTAATCGATTGCCGTTCTGACTGGGCTGTGTCTGATCAGGCGCGCGGCGGAGGTTGGACACCCTTCTTTTGCCACGGAGATGTTGAGCACGAGTCCTCCATCGAGGCTGGGTTCTTTCCTACTTGAAGATGGCCGCAGGAATCATATGATTCTCGCTTAGCACTTAACTACGTGCACTGCTCAAGTCCTTGGCTTCATCTTCAGTCTGAAACACCCGTTCATATAGCCCGCGTTGTGTGGCCTGCACCCTCGTCATTCCTCGCTACCCACCCGCATAGTCCCCGCCCACGTCTCCAGCAGCGCGCCGTCATGAGTGACTTCCGCCTTACCACCCCTCCTCGATGGACATCACGCTTCGAGGACCATCCAGAGCCGCCAATACCGCGCCTTACCATCGACACAGAAGCGGGCGATGACTCCAGCTCATCAGGGCACCCCGACTGCGTCTCCTACTGCACAACCCCAGAGAGCACGCCGCCCACATCACCCACCATCCTACGAGACCACGAACTCTCCTACGCCGAAGACGCGGCGGAGACATCCACCCGCCTAACGCTCCTCGCCTGCCTCCTCGTCGGCCTCGCGCTCTCACTCTGGGAACCCGCGCCTAAACCCACGGGGGTCTCAGTCCACTTCGCCGACCGCCCCTTCGAAAGCGCACTACTAGCGCTAAAACACGCCTGGCCAGAAGGCAGACGCGGCGTCGCCGTCTTCCTGCTCATCACCTTCGGAGTCGTTATGGTGGTCAGGAGTGTCATGAGCCAGCGCGCGGGAGCTGCGGTTCGTCGGCCGGACGAGAAGAACAGCTTGCCATGGGGTCTGAGGGGAAGCGATGTGGTCAACATGGAGAGTCAGATGTCCGTGTTCTGGGAGGGTATGCGCGTCCAATGAGCTTGGGCCGGAGGGGCTTCGCTTCCGATTGTTTTCTATCTGCACGCATCATGACCCCTATGTATTTGTTCGTCTGTACATCAGTATTCCAGCTCCATCCCACGAATTTGCATGCGTCGAAGACGCTCTAGTCGAGAACAGGCGAAAGCACGGTTTATACTCGGTCTCTGATCTGGTCACGTCCAAGTTGAAGAATGGGGGTATGATATTGTGTGAGTTATACTGGTACAGTGTGAGCAATTTGAAGTTGCGTTGTGAGTGGGGATGTTATCTATATCAAATACGTCAAGAGTCACGAGCTTCGAAAGGCTAGGCGCCGCATACATCATCCGAGCCTACACAAAGATCTTGGAGAAGTACTTCTCCACGCCGTCTACGCCCTTCAATAGAGCGCCGACGACCCCATCCGGGCGCACGATTGCGACCGCTGTGCCTTCTCCAACAGCATAGGAGCGATATACATGACCCTGGCCATCGATAAGCGTTGAAGCCACGTTTGGGAAGTCGGCCATCTCATGAGTTGAACCCTGAGGGTACACGACGATGGTCTGGAAGACGCCACTTGCGTACTTCCCCACTGAAGTAGCCACACCGCCCGCGAGTGAAGGGTCCAGCACCAATACAGTGTGCTGCATGGGCTTGAAGATGTTCAAGAGACTGGTCTCGGCGCCAATTCGCACGTCGTGTAACGCCGGCGCGTCGGGCGCGCGATCCCCAGCATGAAGTCGGCCGCTCGTGCCCGCGCCGTACACGTCTTCGGGTTCAATCGTCGTACTCTCGATCTCCTCATCGGATCCAGCTGAAAGCTCGTCGCGAACTATTGAACTCCATCGGTAGTGTACACCCAGTTGGCGCAATGTGCTCGGACGGTTCCATACCGCGGCGTGGTCCTTAGTCTTGAAGGTCGCGTCTGCGAGCGCATGTGTCACGTTGAGCATCTCGCGTACGACTGGTGCGCGTTCTGCGTGGTACGAGTCGAGGAGTGATGGTGGTGACAGGCCTTTGGCGACGAGAGCGAGCTTCCAGGCGAGGTTCATCATGTCGAGTGTACCGGTGTTGATGCCCTGACCGCCAGTTGGACTATGAACATGAGCGGCATCTAAACATACGTATCAGCACTGTATCACTCACTCACCCGGCAAGAAAACCCTACCACCGCCAATGAACACGCGCCCAACGCTGAACTTGTCCGCGACGCGCTCATTCAGCCGCCACTCCGATAGCGAGCGAATCTTCGTGATCCTGATATCCGGGTTCTTCGTCACGTCGCGTATGCACTCGTGCAGGTACTCGCTGTCGTTCACAGCCTTGTGCAGATCAACCGTCTTCGGGATGAGTACCATAGACCAGAGCTTGTCGTCTTCTGCGATGGGGCGCCACATGATTTTGTCGCCCTTCTCTCCGCTGAAACGGTGCCAGTACTGCATGAAGAACATCAGTCGGTCAGTTGATAGTGGTCGTATGCAAGTCGTACCGCCCTGTCTTCGAGGCCAGAGAGCTCAACCTCACCGCTGACTGCGCGTTGTTCGCTGGTTTCACCCACGAAGTTGATTCCGACAAGCTTGCGTACCGGACCTTTAGAGCGTCTTCAGCTGTGTTGAGCAAGAGGCGGTCGAATCAGTTACCTTTTGCGCCCACGGCGCCAATGAGATACTTGACACGAAGCTTGTCCTCCTTCCCTTGGTGCAGGAGCGTGACGTCGACACCAGACTCATCCTGCTTCAGGTCAACGAGCTCAGTTGATAGCTCGACCTTGACGCCGTACTTCTTGAGGTGATCGCGAAGGATAGCGCAGGATGTATCCTGACCCAGTAGGATAGGAATGGGCTGGAACATGTTCAGTCAGTTCGCGTCATACAGCTGGAGCCTCGATCAGCAATTGAACTAACGAAGGGAATCTCCGGCGACGGGTCGCGTTGAACGAGCAAGTCTTCGTCTGTCAAGATCTTGACGACCTTGCCTTCAGCGTCGTACACCTTCTGAGCGTAGTTCGTGCCAGCCTTCTTCAGATAGTCCGGAAGACATCCCAGTAGATGGTACACCTCTTCAGTGCGAGGCTGGTAGTTTTCATCAGCAGAAGAGGTAGACGATCTGATTCTTGTAGGTACCTGGATGCCACAACCGCGCTGCCCGACGAGGAACTGGTCCTCTTTGTCAACAACGCGAATGGAGACGCCGCTCTGCGCAAGAGCAAGAGCGCCAACGAGACCAACAGGCCCAGCACCAACCTAACGCAAATGTACATGATTTAGCACGATACAGCCGGAGCCTGGAGTTGATGGCAAGTGCTCACAACGAGTACGTCCACCGGAGATGACATCGTCAAGCCAGAGCCACACCGCGCGCCACACAGCTATATAGCACGAGGGGTATTTATAGAGCATTCGCTCTTGGCTGGACTTTATATGCCAGGGACCCCGTCGGACCCATTTTTGCGGCTATTTGGCCGCTTATATCAACCGTCCAGTGACGTGCGAAGTTGCTGAAGAGCGCTGTATGACCGCATATTCAGTCGTATGGATATGGTCGGTAGGAGGGAAACAAGCTAGCAAGATCAGAGTCTTTTGGCCAGATCGCCGTAGCAGGTGGGTTTCAACGAGGTCAACTTCAGCTTCGTTATTGCGCGAGGGTCACAGTGTGCCGGGTGAACCGCCGTAAGCTTCGAGGGCTTTCCAGTCGTGGGCAGGTTGAGAGACTGAACGAGGCAGTACTGAGAGCGGTTGGAAAGGCTTCGAGTCCATGATGGTGGTGCGGAGGCCAGACGCATCCGCCGCATGGCGCGTCGGGCAACCCTCGGGGATCGTTCCCACGTTGACATGACTGAGTGACAGCCGTTTCGGAAGGGCTATATCACCGGGCAGAGGTCGTACATACATTATCAAAGGTACAGCAGAGTAAGAGCACATAGCAGAGTATGTAGTACACGATGTTCAAGTTCAGACGAGAATACTCGAGAAGTACTTCGCCACACCATCCGCGCTCTTGAGCAGAGCGCCGACTACACCGTCGGGCCGAACGACAGCGATAGCAGCACCGGCTTCGGCGCCATACGCGCGATGCGCATGACCTTCGTTATCAACCAGCACAGCGCTGACGTTGGACACGGGTGCAGCTTTCTGTGTGTCTTGAGGGTGTATGACGATGGTCTGTACGATTCCAGGGGGATATTTGGCTACAGCAGCGGCGACGTCGTTCGCAAGCGAAGGGTCGAGCACCAGAATGGTGTGGCGAGTCGGGTTGAAGATGTTGAAGAGCTTGGTCTCGATGCCGGTGCGCGCGTCGCGGAGCGCAGGCGCATCCGGTGCGCGATCGCCGGCATGAAGGCGTCCCGGGCCCGCACCATATACGTCCTCAGGCTCGATGGTCGTGCCATGGGCCTCGCCAACGTCCTCATCGCCCGTGAGCTCGTCACGGACGATCGTACTCCAGCGATAGTGGACGCCGAGCTGGCGTAGCGCAACGGGACGGTTCCACGCTTCGTTGTCGTTGGACTTGAACGTCTTGTCCGCGAGCGCGTGCGTGACGTTTAGCATTGCGCGTACTACCGGGGCGCGTTCGGCGTGGTAAGAGTCGAGGAGCGAGGGCGGCGCAAGGCCTTTGACAGCGAGCGCGAGCTTCCAGGCGAGGTTCATCATGTCGAGTGTGCCCGTGTTGAGGCCTTGTCCTCCAGTGGGGCTGTGGACATGTGCGGCATCTGGATGGGTGCATGAGTACCATGTGGCCTACACAGTGAACGTGCGTGCTTACCGCCGCCGATGAAGACACGTCCGACACTGAACTTGTCGGCCACACGCTCGTTGAGGCGCCACTCCGCCAAAGAACGGATCTTCGTGATCTTGATCTCCGGGTTCTTCGTGATGTCCCGCAAGCACTCATGGAGGTACTCGACGTCGACCGCCGCCTTCTCAAGGTCGATCGTGCGTCCGAACAGGCCCATGAACCAGAGTTTGTCGTCCTCAGCGACCGGACGCCAGAGGATCTTGTCGCCCTTATCGTTGTTGAAGCGATGCCAGTACTGTATATAACCATGAGTACATGCACAAGAAGTAGCTGTAAAAGACTTACAAGCCGATCGTCCAGACCAGATAACTCAACATCACCGATGACTGCGCGCTGCTCGCGTGTCTCGCCGACAAAGTTGATACCGACAAGCTTACGCACAGGACCTGTTGTTCTCTAAGCTGCATATTCAAGGGAGACATTGATCAGAAGACATACCCTTTGCGCCCACCGCTCCTACAAGATACTTCACGCGTAACTTCTCCTCGTCTTTGCCGTGATGCACCAAGGTCACATCAACGCCAGACTCGTCTTGCTTGAGATCAACCAGTTCCGTCGACAACTCGACCTCGACGCCGCACTTCTTGAGGTGCTGGCGAAGGATGGCGCAAGACGTGTCTTGACCAAGCGAGATGGGAGTCGGCTTGGGGCAGAATGAGTAGTCGTTGACGTAGTGTAAGATGATAGGCTCACGAATGGCACTTCGGGTGTAGGAGGCGATGGGTCAATCATGTTCTTAGATTGCACGAGCTTGCCCTCGGCATCGTAGACCTTCTGAGCGAAACGCATACCAGCCTTATTCTGATAGTCCTGGAGGCACCCGAGAAGATGGTACACCTCTTGAGTACGGGGCTAAGGAGGCGCATTAGACACAACGAATGGATTGCGTGGCTTGTAGTATCACACCTGGATGCCCGAACCGCGTTGGCCCACGAGGAACTGGTCCTCCTTGTCGACAATCCGGACAGAGACTCCGTTCTGAGCAAGAGCCAAAGCGCCAACAAGGCCAACAGGACCAGCGCCAACCTGCAAGAGATAAGCGTGAGATGAGCCTTTCCGGAGGGCTGTGGCGCATACTGACCACGAGAACATCTACTGAGGTGGACATTATTCGAGAGTGAAAGACGAGTTGTGGCAGGTAGATCGCTAGTTGTTTGATGCAGACTACGGCGTTGCGCCATTCCCTTTATACTTGGGCGGCATCCGGATAGATCGGTGTGCAGGAAGAAGATAGTCAAGAGAGTTTGACATGGTGGCGGAGATCAGGATGTACGGTCGATGACGAGACGCAAGAGACGCATTCCGTCGGCTGCGGTTCAATGCTATCGTGTAAGCACCTTTGACAGGCAATTGTAGACGGCTGTGGACACCGAGGCTAACAGCACACCTCGGGCAGTTTCGGGCCGATGCCGCCCTCCGTCGGATGCATCTTGGCGGCGCCCGTCGAGGCCGAAGCTGCTACGAGCACAGCGGCAGTACTGTGCCGGTCGACCACGTAGAGTGGTATAGTTTATCAAGAGCCGGACTGACAGAAGAGCATGGTATAACAGGACAGAAGGACGCTATATGCGCTACGCTAGGCGGTACAGTATACGATGTTCGAGCACAGAAGGCGGACCGCCCGGGCCTTGCCCATCGCCGTTACGAACACCCTGCGCGGTGTACACACAAGCCCCACCATCATGCCTCGTTAAGGCAAGATGCATCAGGCCACAGGCTTCCAAGCAGCGAGCATCTGTCGGATGAACTCGAGCCCCTTTCCCTGCACATCCGCAACGCTGGCGTCGACGTTGTTGGCCACAATCAGGTCACTGGTATGGAAGCCGTTGTGGAGACCAATGTGCGAGGGCGGGATGTTGGGTGGGACGACAGAGTCTGCAGAGAGCGTGGCTCCCCTCCAGACGTCACCTGCAGCTCCAGTGTCAGTATACGAACATCGGCGTATCAACTGGAACCAGGATACTTACGTACGCCATTGGCGAAGAAGACGTTCTGGACGTCTATATCCCAGCCTTTGTAGATGTCGTTTGTCTTCAAGATTTGCGCAGATGACGGCTCTCCATCCGAAAATTGCTCCGGGAAGTAGTACTGACACTGTCTCTATCAAAGCTGTCAACGGCTGGTCGAAATGGCATATGCGTAGGACTCACTAGCTCCTGATTTGAAGGTTGCAGTGTACGAGACACGATCGTTGGTTGATCGTCAGGTGCGGCATCCTATGGCACGCGGCATGCACGTCAGCCCTAGCACTCTATAAGACCAAGAGCCGTCCGAACCTGGAACCAGCCAACCTACAAGTCAAATGAGTACTCGTATGATAGCTCAAAGGGGAATAAGAACGAACCTCATTGCATTTGACCCACATCCAAGCACGCGTGGTATCGCCAACAGATGTGCTGGTGTAGACTTCGGAAGACGCATTATACGTATCCAGACAGATACTGAAGAGCGTGAGCCACACGAAGTAATAATACAGTGAATAGTATCTTACCTGTAGTTCTGACCAGCACAGATCGCCGGAAGATAACCATCCTTGAAGTCCGCGCCCCACGCAGACAAGGCGTGTTCCAGACCCCAGCCCTCAGCTGGTGCGGTCTCGTTGTCCTTGACCTCAAGTCTGTCGCAGAAGATGTAGAAGCCGCTTTCTTCGCTGCCATACTGCATGTCTTGCCACGCATATAGAGGGTTCTTCACTACACAGTTCGGTTTTGCAATCAGGGAGGTGACCGATCGACTATGGAAACTACACTCACGTGTAACGGTGACGTCGTCGTAGTGCTCGACGTCTTCCATCCCGAACTGTGCTTTCAGAGCAGCGGCGGCTTCAGGGTCGTCAGCGACCGCATCAAAGTGGGCAATCAAAGCTTGGACGTCGCTTGAGCAGTTAGAAGGCATGTAAGTCCTGAAGACGATTTTTCAGACGACGAGACTACCGAACAGAGTACACAGCCGACGACGGACCTTATGATGTCAAAGAACTGCCAGTAGTCGCTAGAGTGAATGCGCGTCAGTAAAAGTGTACGTTGATGCCGATGGCGATGTTCCTACACGATGATCTCAACGACGGCGGAGGAGGTCCAACCTGCGGCGAAGAGATCTGGCTTTCTGCGACATGGATCAGCTGAGTGTACATGCTTCAGCCTCAGACACGCACGCGGCCATGATCCAAGCCGTCAATGCTCCAGAGTAGCTGCCGCCTACTAAGATCCACGGGGCACTGCTGGGGTCATCGATGGGCGCGGGAACCTTGACGTTCTTCACAAAGTACTCCAGATCCTCGATGCTCTGCGCGAGCGTGAGAACTTGTAGGCTCTGGACTGTGAGATCGTCGTATGGGTTCGACTCCCCGAAGAAGCTGGCAACATGTAAGCCAAGGGTCAGCTACGGGGTGACGTCTGGAGAAATAGACTAACCGATGCTCTGAGAGGGTGAGCGTCAGTTCTTTTCTCCCAAGGCTTTCGAATACGGCTCACCGAGGACGATAGTCGCTCCACCATGCTGTTGAGCGATCTGTCCGTTGATGGTATCGTTTGTAAGATAGCCGGTGTACTCTGTAGGATCATCCGTCAGTCCCCAAAAGAAATGTTGGCGCTGAACCTACGCTGAGCGTTCTCCTCTCCTGCAACGTACTGTTAGCATGCACTTCGGCAAACTCGTGATACAGACTTACCCGGCGTGAAGAGTATGATAGGACCCCCTTGAATGCCATGAGACACAGTTCAGACATACTTGATAATGGAACGCACCATCTTCATAGGAATCCCATGCCATCCAGTATCGCTGCTGGAAGGTGCCCTTGCTCGGGTCATCGTGATCGATCAGTTGGTCGAAGTAGTAGACCGTATTCAGCGGCGGGACTGTACTGCCATTGGTGTCCAGAACACCAGGACGAGTCTGGTCGGCGCCGAGAGGTTGAGGAAGCGGCAGTTTCAGGCCAAATGAGCGCGATGCCGTGGCCAAAGCCACTCCAGCGCCAGAAACCAGGATGGCCGAGTATCGAAGGAGCAGATTGACCATCGTATTCACCCAGAACTATGTGATGTGCGGCGAGGGCACGAGAACATAGGCGGCGAGTGGGGACTCGGTATATAAATGCATGCTGAAGTCGGTTTCAGTCGACCGTGTGGGTATTGCAGAAGCACGCGCAGTTCGAGAAGGCCTGTCGATCATTGTTGAATGTGGGTGGGCGCTCTCCTCAGTATTTCTCGTTATGTCAGAGACCGTGGAGCTCGTAAGGACATGAGCCTCTTCTCTCTGCATATGCACTAGTGCGTGTCCGAAGGTCTGGACGGTGTGGTCACCATCTAAGTTGTGAGGTGTTCAGTCCGGCACAACTGAAGACAACGCTGAAGGAAAGTCGTATGGGCCACGTCCGTGTGGGCGGCTATGAGCGCCCGCTCTGACAAGAGCAGGCGGAGACCGCTTAAGCATTGTATGGGCAACTGCCACCCGATCAATCCTCGGGAAGGCGCCGTTGGAACAGCCCGCACGCGGGACCGAAAACATGATTAGAGCAAGGAATGAATTGTTCAAGAGAGTGCCTGTGCAATAAGTATAACATGCAAACGAAGGACAAGTCCGTATACGCGGGGAGAGTGAATGTAGAGATGAGAGCAAGACGAGAGTTGCATGCGCCACGCGCGGCCAATCCTCGGCCCGGCTCGGCACTTGCCGTACTCTTCCCACCTCACCTTACCGACGTCCTTCCCAGTGGGTTTTATGCGCTGGCATCCCTCTTGATGCCCTCGCGCCAGCCCCGACGAGAGCTCGATGACTTCGAGACAGCAAGCGTCTGCTTGATGAACGCGAGACCCTTCTTCTGGACGGCAGCAACGGTCGAGTCAACGTCGTTGGCGATGATCAGGTCGCTGGTGTGGAAGCCATCGTGAAGGCCAATGTGAGACTGTGGAATGTGCGGAGGAGTGACGCCTGGAGCCGAAGTGGTCGAGTAGCGCCATGGGTCACCTGTAACGTTCCCCAAGGTTGATCAGTCGATGGAATCGAGATGATAGGTAGCATCGGTCAACTCACGCTCGCCGTTGCCAAAGAAGATGGTCTGCACGTCCAGATCCCACCCTTTGTAGGTCTTATCGGTCTTGAGGATCCGAGCGGAGCTGACGGGCTGGGCGCCGGGGAAGAAGTACCCGCATTGCCTCTAACGATGACCATGTCAATCGACTGTGACAGCGTCTGGAGATATACTGGACTCACTATCTCCTGGTTCGCCGGTTGGAGGGTACGAGAGACAATAGTGGGGTGGCCGAGAGGTGCCGCATCCTGAGCATTTCTATGTCAGTACGGACCCGCCAACTGGACAAACGACAATATGCACCTGGAACCATCCAACCTGTAGCATCGAGAGTCAATAAAGGCACGGTAGATTGGAGTGATGCATGTATGACGCACTTCGTTGCAGACAAACCAGAACCACGAACGGTTGGCGTCGTCGACTTCGGTGCTGGTGTAGAACTCTTGAGTCGCGTTGTACGTGCCGAGGCAGTCGCTACAGTAAATGAGTATGAGAAGTCACTATGCGGTCTGTACTGCGCTCACTTGTAGTTGTCGTCGCCGCAGATCGATGGTAGATACTCATTCTTGAAGTAGGCGCCCCACGCGGAGAGCGCATGTTCAAGACCCCAGCCAGAAGCAGGCGCAGATTTGTCGTCCTTGACCTCTAGGGCGTCGCAGAAGGCAAAGAAGTCGGTATTTGGGCCGCTCTCCGGTTGGAGGTCTTGCCAGGAGTAAATCGGATTCTTGACTATAGTACCTTGTTAGCGTATCTGAAGCAGCAACAATGATATTGTGTGCTGCTTACGAGCCGCAGTGACATCGTCGTAGTGCTCGACGTCCTCTAAACCGAATTGTGCCTTCAATGACGCGACGGCCTTCGGGTTATGAGCAACAGCGTCGAAGTGCGCGATGACTGCCTGGACGTCGCTAGAGCAGTTCTTGGGCATGTGCGTCCTATGGGCTACGTTCAGTCCATGCACAATCAAGCGTGGGAAACAAGTGCCAACCTAGGAATCTCGAAGTATTGCCAGAAGTCACTGCAACGCGTATGAGTACGACATACCGTACAGAGAGCTGTGCGGACGTACACGATAGTCTCAACAACGGCGGAAGAAGCCCAGCCCGCAGCGAAAAGATTCGGCTTCCTGTGTAGGATGTCAGCTTCGCCAGGGCCCCACCGCGCAGACGCTGTACGCACGCAACCATGGTCCATGCGGTAAGAGCACCGGAGTAGCTGCCGCCAACCAACACCCATGGTGCTTTGCTGGGCTCGTTGATGGGCGCAGGAACATTGACGTTCTTCACAAAGTACTCCAGATCATCGACGCTTTGCTCGAGAGTCAGAAGCTGAAGGCTCTTGACACTGAGATCATCGTAGGGGTTTGACAGGCCGAAGAAACTGTATACAGCTTCAGCATCTGCTCGGCTGTGACGGGACGGTTAACGCCGACTTACCGATGCTCTGAGCGACATCAATGGGTCGTGGTCAGCATTTCTCCCTCCCCATTTTATACAGATGGCACTCTCACCGAGCACAATAGTCGCTCCGCCTTGTTGCTGAGCGATCTGTCCGTTGATCGTGCGGTTGGTGAGGTAGCCCGTGTAAGCTGTAAGACCGCCATCAACTTCAAACTCAACAGATCACGAGACGTTACCCACGCTCAGCGTTTGCCTCTCCTGCGAGACTGTCAGCGCGTTCGATCTTCGCAACGGAGGGAGACTTATGCTTACCCGGTGTGAAGAGCACAATCGGGCCACCTGCAAAGCATCCGTCAATCTCGCATCTCGACATCCGACATCACGGCAGGCACCGCACCATCCTCGTAGAAGTTCCACGTCATCCAGTACCGTTGCTGGAAAGTGCCCTTGCTCGGGTCATTGTGGTCGATGAGCTGGTCAAAGTAGTACGTCGTGTTCAGCGGTGGAAGCGCGCTGCCGTTGGTATCGAGCGCGCCATGCGCGATCTGAACTTCGCTCGCGTCGAGAGGAGGCGGAAGCGGCGCTCTCATGCCGAAGGAGCGCGGCGTGATCGCGGATGCGACCGCGGCGCTGGCGGCCAGGAAGACAGAGCTACGGAAGAGCATGCTGAACGACCGCGTCCGAGCACTGCAAGGTGTCCCGAGGATAACCGGCGAGCCCGACGAGCCCTTGTTCGACCTCCCGAGGCTTTATATGATGATGCCATGTCCGGCAATATCTGAATGATGGCGGCTCGGATACAGTGGACCACGCGGATATCAGCAGAAGCATACGGAGATCGAGAAGACGTGCTGATCGATGTTGGTTGTGGAAAGAGACGGCCTGTTTGAGGTAGCCGATGTGCCCAGTGGACTGTAAGCGCTGTATTCGAAGCTGTAGTAGGGAGCGCTCAAAGATCTCGAAGTCGAAGGTGTTCCGTCATCGCGTTACAAAGTATGAGCGCATGTGCAAACGAGACCAAAGCATATCGTAAGCTGCAATCTCTTATCTATACAGTGACATATATGAGGGGCACAGCTGCAATTAGGCTTCTCATCTACGTAGCTGTCCGCCCTATAAAGAGGCCGTTTTAATCATCCGTCCAGCCAAACGTCCATCATGTGTTCCTACTCGTATGGTGCGGGCGGCAATTGCGCGGGAAGGAGCACCGGAAGCTCCATGGTCGCGCCCACAGGTTCAGATGCATGCATCATGCCTTGTGCACAGGATACCCGTAGCCGCGTTCGACGGAGCGCTTCTTGGACGCCGGCACGAACTCCTTGACCCATTGCTCGATCTTGGCGAGACCGGCTTGTTGCACAGCAAGCACGGTGCTGTCAACAGCACCTGCCTGTGTGAGCAGATCGGAGCAGTGCATACCGTCGCTGAGGCCGATGTTGGACGGGTCGACGTTCGGTGGGGTGACGCCTTCCGCAGCCATGGTGGCCTCACCTGAGGTCTGTGGTCAGCCAATGGACGGCAGGACTGAGTAGATGAACTCACGCCATGGATCACGCGACCCAGCTCCGAAGAAGAGGCGGGGTACATTCAGGTTCCAGCCCCCGAAAACCGAGTTCGTTTGCTGTACGTTGGGTACTGGCGGCGATGAGAACGCTTCCGGGAACATGTACTGGCATCTGAGCTGCAAAGAGTTAGAAGAGGGCCGTCGTTGGGTAAGACGAGTGCTCACCTCGTCAGCGCTGGGTTGCACCAGACGCGAGACGATAGCCGTCTGGCCCGTGGGAGGCGAGTCTTGGAAGAAGCCGAACTCGTTGCAAGTCATCCATGCCCAAGCGCGCGCTGAATTTGGAGTGTAGTCATTGCTGTAGTACTCCGAGTCCGGTGGTGGTGTCCCTAAGCACGTCCTACCGGCACATCAGCGAGGAGCGGGAGATGTATAAACCGAGCCACACACTCCATATCATCGTCGCCGCAGACTGAGAACGACATGAGTGAATATAGATGTGGTGAAGAATGATGACTTACTTGAAGGAAGATAGGTATTCGTCAAGTACGAACCCCAAGCACTTAGCGTGTGGTTCAACCCAAACCCCGTGGCAGGTGCGACCTTGCCACCATCAACCTCCAGAGCGTCGCAAAACTTGAAGAACTGCTGCTCGGTGGTTCCAGAGTATGGTTGGAGGCTTTGGTAGTCAAAGAGATTGTACCGTACTGTACCAAACAGAATAACGGTCAGCGTGAACTCCGACGCGAAGGAGAGTTCTCGTACATGCAGCAGCAACATCGGATGCCGCGGTGATGTCAGATAGACCAAACTGCGCCTTGAAAGCGTTAAAGGCAGTTGTGTCATCAGCGATGGAGTCGATATGCGCGATGACGGCGGCAACATCTACAAACAGATCAGTCCAAGAAGCGCGCGAGCAGTTGATTGGTTGACGAACCAGCGCTGCAGTTCTTCGGCATGTTCTCCTGTATGGGCTGGAAGTAGCCATAGTAGTTACTATGCGCATGTTAGTGGAGCGTTCTAAGCGGAAACGGGACGGCGAAAACTCACACGATGCCTTGAACAACCCCAGAAGAACTCCAGCCCGCCCAGAAGACATCTGGTTGGCTGGCACCGATGTCAAGCACAGTACGCTAGAAGGTAACAAACGACGTACTTCGCCATGGCGTATGCAGCTAGTGCGCCAGAGTAGCTTCCGCCAACGATGACCCAGGGTGCTTGGTCGGGCTTGACGGCGTCACCGCCTGTGAACGGCAGCGTGACTGTCTGAGCGAAGTAGACCAGATCGTCGATGGCTTGCTGTACGGTGAGGTACTGGAGGTAGTCCACCGTCATCTCGTAGTTCGGATTTGAGTTGCCGAAGAAGCTTTTAGGGTTTGATCAGTATGTTTCGAGTAACGGGGTGCGGTGAACATACCGATGCTCTATTACAACATCATTCAGCTCAGTGGAGCGCACGTATTCCTGATTCAAGTGACTCACCAATAAGAACCGTAGCTCCGTTGAGCTTTTGAGCAATCTGTCCGTTGATGGTGGAGTTCGTAAGGTAATTGGTGTAAGCTGCAGATAGGTTAGCTTGTTAGAAAGGTCTCAAACAGGGCTATACTTAAAATCTGCTGCTTCTTCGCCTGGTGTGAACAAGACAATGGGCCCTCCTGGCTTGTAGAAAGTGGAATCCACCCAGTAGCGCATGTTGAAAGTGCCTCGACTCGGAGTGGTGTGGTCAATGAGCTGTTTGAAGTATCCAGATGTTGACTGTGCAGCGAGAGAGACCAAACCGTCTTCATGAGGAGGCAGAGGGGGCAAGGGTCTCGGCGGAGAGAGCCTCGCTGATACGGACAGCGCCAGCAGGAGAGGTGCCACAACTGAGAACATCGGGGGGGGTAGACCTTAGGGTGACGAGGATAGCAAACCTAGCTTAGCAGAAGTTGTGGAGCTCGGATTATATACAGTACAGCAGCAGCGCCGTTGACGGTGACGCCGTATCGTCGAGGGCCGCAAGGACACCTTCCGAATCTTCGGCAGGCTAACTCTTCGTACAAGTCCGAGAACCCAACGTGACTGCACGAAGAACCATTGCCCGCGTCGAACATGATACCATATTTAGAGCGTCAGGCAGCATCAAAGGAGACGTTGCAGTGCATCATCAACGGAGTCCCGTTGCGGGGCGGCTAGAACGGATGAGCCTTTGACATCGAAGTCGGGAGGTGGGGCGAATCCTCGCAACACAACCGACGAAAGACCTGTCCCTGAACCTCTAGGAATATCGGCCCGCTGTCGGAAGCCAGGATGACTACGCCAGCATGCCAGATGGAGCACATCATATGTATCATGGTATCTTTGCGATACGCTCATGTTGAGGAACGGTCGAAGATGGAGGAAGGAAGAGACCTTCGCGAGCTGCCCATTGGACGCGACGCGCGCTTGCGGCGTGGCTCGTGAGCTCGGGCCACGCACCTCACATCCGACCACCACTCGCTTCTCCCTTCTCCGCGCATCATCTTAGACTATAGACGCAACTCTATAGATTGTTATCTATTGCTCGTGACTAGTGGCTTTCTGAAGGCTTAGGAACACTGTTGCGCCGTCTCGCTCGCGTCATGTCTGCATCCGCAGAGCACTCTGGCGACAAGCCACACAGGAACGGCGGGCGGTCGCTCGTCAGCATATTGGATGAGAAGAATGGCGACTCCGACGTAGAAGATAGACAAGAGGCAGATGATGAGGAAGAGGAGAAGGAGCGTGAGGTGCCTGCTGGGTTGTGCGTAGAATGCGAGGGTATGTAGCTCTGTCCTAATTTGGTCATATTGCTACCTTGCATCGGCCAATACTATAACTCCTATTGCCACATTCGACTGACCTCACTTCCCAGATCAACCTGCCGAAATACACTGTGACACCTGCGAAGACAACTTCTGCGACGTATGCTTCCACGCTCAGCATCGCAAAGGATCCCGCAAGCGCCATGCCACCACGCCTTTGGCCGAGAATCCTCGCAAGAGGCAGCAAATAGCCAAGCCCAAAACAGAGGCGAACGGCGCAGACGCAGATGAGGTGCGTGCATCGGTGTATGTCTCTGGAATGACGGTTAACATGTTCTTGCCAGGATATGGAGGACGCCGAGCTCGATGATGAACTCGAAAAGCTCGTCACCGGCGCACCTGCCACTTCCGTAGCCGCCAACTCCCAGCCCGCACTTGGCGAGGCACCCGGCGAATGGTTCGTAGATCGTGCGAAGTACACACCCGTACGCCTTACGCTCGGCGAGCGCAAGATGCTACGCCTACTAGATGCCGCCCTACAAGTTTCTGAGTACACCGACAAGATCGACACGATTGGTTATGGACTCAGTAAAGCGAAGCGCATTGTACATCAAATCCGCGAGCTGTGCTCTATCCTGTCCGGGCTCATGCTCGCCGCCGACTACAAGAAGGGTCAGGAACTATTCGAGGACCGCGACTTTGCGGCGAATGAGAGCTTCTTCCAGCGCCTCTTTGAGATTGGACGGCGTCATAAGATTCAGAACCCCGATAAAATGAGGACTACGTATGTGTCGAGCAGCTTGAATGATCACATGTACTGATCGAGGGGGTATAGATACGGGAAGCTCATGTACCTCCTTCAGGTCAGCCGATCGCGCTTCTGCCGATGATTCACGCTGACCGCGACGTACAGGACAGCCAAACGCCCGAGGTCAAGGACCTTCTCGGCTTCTCCTGCGTCATCCCCATCAAAACCGTTTACGCCGTCCTCGAGGAACATAACGCCGTGGACATGCTCCGCGACCCACTTATGACGGCCGCAACGCAGGAGATCGGCGCTGAGAAGCGTAGTAGGCGCGAGATCCAGAAAGACATCAAGGCGAAAGAACGCGCTATCGAGTTGCTGTCCTCACGATATACCCGTGGCGGCCTCGAGCAGGAGGACGTCCGCCAATTACTCTACTCCATAGGCGACAACCATGCGTTCTTGCGCGTAAATCGCGACCCTTGCGAGAAGATGATCGGATACTTGAAAGAGTACTTCTCACCTAATACGCCGAAAGACAAGAAGGGCCGGGATAGTCTCGCGATCAAGAGCGGCAAGGGCGGCGCACGCCTCAGCCACGACCATTCTAAGCAGTACATCTTCGTGCTGCAGAGTTTGACGCTGTGGCGCGAGGTCCTGCACGGTGATTGCTTCACCATATCCTCGTGTCCATACGGATTCTGACGTCGGGCGCAGACCTCTTCCACCTATGGTCGCTCGGCGAGCAGGACCTGTTGATGGAGGGCAATTACTACCGCCTGCGTGACACAGGTCAGGGCCTCAACCGTGTCCAAAACGCGCCGAAAACGTCGCGCATGATGCACTCCATCCTCGGACGCGCGCAGAAGACGCTCGGAGGGTGGGTCGGCTCGTCCGTCATCCACATGGGCGACCATAACGTGCCGAACGCGTTCATGTTCATCGGTCCGTAGCCGTCATCCCTCCCGAGCTCTGCTCCTAGATTCGTCCGAATGCTGATTTCTTCCGCGCTCGGTGACAGACAAGTACTCACAGATCTACCGCATTCTCCTCCCTATCACCACCACGTTATCAAAGCTTCCCGACCTTTACGCTCAGCACGCTCTTCGTAGCTACATCGACAGCGAGTACGGCTCGCTCGATAACCTCTACCTGGAGATCCTTGGCGACTTCTTCCGACACGCGTTTGACGGGTCGGGCGCGGACAACTTCTTTGACGCGGGCTCTTGCATCGACGGTCGGCTGACCAGCGCGTGGAATTGGTGTTCGACGCTTGAGAAGAAGCGCTACTTCCACATCTTCTTGCTTACCGGTGCGTGTTTCTTCGCTCACTTGGCCATTCTCTGGCGCTAAGTACGTCTTCTAGGCTTTGTGGGCTTCGACGGAGAGTGGTAGACAGTCGTACTGTACAACCCTGTTCTCTGACCCCACGTCAATGACAATCGCTCGACTGGAAACCAGCGGGTCTCATAATTCTCACGGCCGTGCGCAGTGCCCGAAAGAGAGAACAAGGTGATGCATGAGTATTGCAAAGCGATATACGACATTCTACGAGGGAGAAAGATGATGACAACACGTAGAGACAGATACAAGGCCTAGCTTGTCGATCGAGAACAAATAATGGTGCTATTGGTATGTAAGGTCCGGTCCACTGTCCGACGGCAGAGATACTCGCAAAACTACGGAAGCAGCACCCTCTACAGCACGAGCGCAAGTGCGCCGGCTAGCATGGTGCCAATGACAGCCAAGACACCCTTTGAGCCGAGTTCCAAGGCCACGGCGCCGCTGCCGTTTCCACTCGAGCTGCTGCTGCCACTCGTACCCGTGGCCGACGCTGCAGATCCGCTGGCACTGGATGAACCGGTGCCACTTGCTTGCGCGCCAGATGCCGTGAAGGTCTTCACGTAGTTGATCTCCCAGTAGGCGTTGTTGTAGTTTGACGCAGTGCCGACGAGATCCAGGCAGGAGCCCATGTTCGGGCAAGTGGCGTTGAAGACGGCGGGAGCGCCGGCGAACACACCGCAGATGTCGATGTCGAAGATGACCTCCTGCGGTGAGAAGAAGGTGCTGGGATCGCAAGAGGATGCGGGGTAGGATGCGCTGGGTGTCGGCCAAGAGGTAGGGTCGGGAGAGTTGCTCTGAAGGTCGCTGGGGATGGATGACGTCTGCAGTCCCGATTAGCACAGTACCATACTTGTATTTGGAAACGTGAACCCACGGGGAAGAACCAGAACTGTACCCCATCCGTAGACAAATACATAGCATAGGCGCCACCAGCGAAACCAGGTCCACCAGAATTTTGTGCGGGCTCTTCGGTCACACATCCTTGATTGCCGGTGACGTTGAAATCGACGCCGTCACAGTTGGTCTGCAGCACAGTCCCCGTATGAGGGAAGGACGTCGAGTTCGACAGTGTGCAACTGCGCAGTGGTAGCGTGTGAGTAAGGCGGGTATGCGCAGTTAGAACGAGGCAAACATACCCAGAACGCGTGTGGAGGCTGTACTGGTTCTGAGTCTGTAAGTTTACCGTCTCGATCTAACAATAGGTTAGCGGAACTCGGAATCCGGCTGGTATGCGTATGAGCTCACGATGTCAATCTCGCCGCCCACGTCCGTCTCAGTACTGGCATCGAGCGTCCAGAAGGCAGGCCATACACTGCAGCCGAAAGGTATGTGCACTAGGTTTGCCACCAAGAGCGTTCCGACGTCGATGGGGTTATTGGAGATCATCATGACTGTATTCCGGCCAAAGGTACTCTCCGGGCCAGGGTTGGGGTCGTTCGTCGTATTATCTGCACGCAAGACGACATTGCCGGCACTGTTCACAAAAGCGAGTGGGTTGCTGCCGCTCATCGCAGTGGCGCTGTCGACATAGCTATGATGGAATGCATCAGCTTTGACCATGACAAGTGCAATGAGGACGACGAACTGGATGTTGCCCTGATTGAACGTGTCTATTGCAGACGTGTTTACCCTGAAACCGGTGAAGAAATCCTGGCCTGCGAAGTTCCCTGCCAACTTAAGCGGAGTAGCAGCGAGCGCGCTCGTGCTCGCAAGTGCGGCTACAGCAAAGATACGAGTAGACATGACAGAACGAGCGTCCCAAGAGCTGAACAAGACAAGTACGGTATACTAGAAGGCGCGGTCGTGGTGGAAAGAGAACAAGGAGTCGTGAGTACAAGACCGTCGCAACATGACATGCAACTGACGCCCGTGCGTCCGAACTCTCAAGCGTGGCCATCAGCTTCGTTGGCGCCCATGACGGCGGGGAATCGCCGTTCAGAAGAATAGAGGGTGGCAACGGTCAAAGGTAGACTAAAGCCAGCACAAGGCAGTATGGATAACAGCGAGTCCTCTTGCACATCATATAGCGCTCTCAGCGTACTTCGAGGTGAGCGCTTGGGCACGCGACTTGACTAACTTGGGCGCCAACTGATAAAGCTTATATTGATAGACCGCGCCTTTGGCTCGCCCACGAGGAAAGCGCGCGAATTGATGGCGGGGAAAAGCCTCCGAAGTTCCGCTGTGGCCCCTGCTTGATTTCCATCCAACGCCACAACTCCACGAACCGCCTATAGGGTGCATCTGCATAGACATTACATCTCTAGAAAGCACATATGTCCGGATTCATCGAACTGGACAGGCGTCCAGGAGCTTAAGAGTATCGACGATGTCGACGCAGGATCCCCGCATTCGGTTGGTGAGCCGACGGCAACGCGTCGAGGACAACACCCGCATCGATCTGCAGCAACTCGAAATGACGCCATCAAAGAAGCGCAGGCCACAGGGCGGCCATCGCCGGCGTAGAAATATCATCTCTGCAATGGACCATCATCACCGAGGACTTCACCGACCTCGCCAGCTCGCGCCAATCTACACTTCACTGCATATACGGTGTCTAAGACATGCTGAAGGGCTCGGATGTACGACCCTAGACTCAGAGGGATGAAAGTACTGCAGCAATCTCTAAAACATCCACTCCGAGGCTGGAAATCGAAAATCGAAACGAGGTTCGTTTGCGTCCGGGCCGATATGGACCTTTGCGATAGCCAGGTACACAACTGCTTGCGGAGTATGAAAGGAAATCGGGAGAAGTGACCGCGGACGTCGCTCCTTCGCCCCGCGTCCAACATATAGCTGCGCGCGTGCTCGCCGTCGCAGACTGTCCTTTTGGTGTCGTTGCCGAGCATGCCGCTGTAATGGCCCAGGATGATGAACCTCTTCCCAGTGTCGTTCGTAAGTTCGACGGAACGAGCGCTCGTGTGGCATGCCCTTACTGATGATATCATGGCCACGCAGTTTCTGCGCTGAAACTCGAGTATGCACTGTTAGGCATCTATCTGTATGTCCCCCCTTCAGCCAAACATCAATCTATGCTCAACGGCCCAGGTGGGAGTTTGTCTCCTGCTTGCCCCATAGCTGCGAGCGTCTCAAGCAACCCTTTCCCTGGCCGGCTGCTACCTGGGTACGAATCGCTATCTTCACGCCTGAAAGTGGCTCGACTGACGTTGTCTACTCAGGCTTACTTCTTCTGCCGTTTCTCCGCATTTGTTCTCATCATCGTCACCATTACTGGAACTGGTTCTCATGACTGTCTGGTGCGTTGTACTAGGCTTTTGACCGCGAGTCTTACTGACAGAACGACAGACCGCCATCCGTGTAGCATACGTGCGTCCTCCTATATCTGTTTGTCCACAGTCTTGTCTGACTTGCTGTCGTAGGGCCTCAACTATGGCATTGTTCTCTCTTCTACCACGCTCATAGCACTTCGGTCGTGTGCGGTCTGGTCGAACGACCGTCGCGTCGTGGCATGGGCCACATTGGTGATCGTCTCGGAAATTGGTTCCGCAATCTACTGTAGGCGTCCACCAGGTTCACCGCTTTGGCTTGCAACTCAATCATCATCCTAGCCATCTACGCAGCAGATGCGGTCGAAGTCTCCGGCATATGCGCTTATGGACACTTCATGGCCACTGTCCCCTCCGTCATCGTTACGACTGCCGCTGATCTATCGCTCCTCGCCATATCTCTCATTGGCCTTTGGAGTCGGCGCGAGATTCGCAAGAAGGGGCTGTGGCGCCTGCTTTGGGGTCAAGGCATGGTCATGATGTCCATATCTTTCGCAATTGATGGGACTGTCCTGGTCGTCATGCTTGTTGGGGGCCTAAATGGTACGCCGCCACCCGCTTTCTTGGCACCGGCGACTCAATTGCGCGATAGCTGTTCTCAACACGGCGCTGCTTACGATGGCCGGTACGCTTATCATCCGTCGCCCTCTTGCGTACAGCTCCTGACCTCATCACTTTCGGTCAGATTTGGGTCTAGCCATAGGATCAACGCGTATGGCTCAGATATTGTTTTCCTTCGTGGACCACTACGACTCGAATCCTACGTACGCGCACGAGCATTCGCCATCCGCTAGTCAGAACTGACGTTTCTTCAGCGACACCGATGATGGCTCACCGCCGATACAACTAACGACGATCCGGCCTTCTCTTAGTATTCCCGCTGTCGAGGTCGACGACGCATACGGATACGACCTGGATGATGACATCATCAGTCTTGAGCTCGGTCTGGCCAAGAAGACTACGACAATATCAACCGGTAGCGGCAGCGGCAGTGGCAGTGGCAGTGGGAGCGGTAGTGGAGCGGTCCAGGGCGCGCGCAAGCCCTTGCCTCTCGAGCGACTTGCATGATATGAGACCCTTTTGGTAGCACATCACTTGTCACGAGCATTCACACAAGCCTGCGGCTTTTTACGAGACACACATACTACATCATCCAATCATCCATCGCTCTCTGCTCACAGGCAAGAATAGTATCATTCCTATAGGGTGATTTCCAAGGTGCAGCACATACACTATCGAGGGTTGGTGAAAGGAGGCTATCCTGGCTGTTCTCTCTCACTCATCTTCGACCCATTCGCTGTCACTGTCGCTGTCTTCTAGGGATAGATGGGGACCAAGACCAACATCCGGTGCTGGTACTGGCCGGTACGCGGGTCCAGCGATATGCCAGTCGTACTCCGTCTCTTCATCGTTATCGTCGTCTCCCGCAGCGCCCGAGCTCTTGATGACGACTTCAGTGTATGCCCGCGCCCGCTCTATCCAAGGCGCATATCTCTGCTCGATCTTGCTCCAAGCAGTATAGCCCGCTTGCGGGTCGGCGTATCCCGTATCTCTCCGATTCAGAGTGAATGTGCGGATTGAACATTCGCTTTGGTGTCGTGTCTGCAAGAGCGAGAGAATGGGCGCCCAATCTCTCGCCATCCTACCAGGATCCTTCTCCGTGTAGGGGAAATCGACTATCGTGAGATGGCGCAGCGCGGGGAATATGCCGCCCGCGCCTGCTTCCTCTCCATCTCCCTCTTCGTCGATGCGCGGCAAGAGGAGCTCGAGATGCTCGGCGTCGTAGTTCAATATGGCAGCCTGCACGCCGCTGAGCGGGGCCAAGATGCGACGCATCGGCACTTCTTCGTAGAAATTGGGTAGCCCCCCGATATCGATGTGACTGATACGCTCGCTGTTGAGATGGACGAGCAACGCTTCTAGGTCGCGTTCGAGATCGGGGTCATCCTCTGCATATAGCCGCACTTTGGCGTCAAGATGGAATGCAGGTGCAGACTGAGAGAGATCCGAACTGGAAGACCACAGTTTCACGATGAGGTGCACGCCATCGCCGTCTTCTCGCCGGCGGTCCTCTACGATGCTCAGACTGTCAAGGCCTTCGACTGACAGCTGACGCGACGCTGCAGCGAAGATCTCTGAAGGATCGACGTCCCTTTCATAGGGCTCATGGTATTCGTTGTAGACATTCAGATCGACGTCTAGTTTCTCAGGTAAGACCAGCTTGCGCCAAAAGGCGTCGTCGAAGAACGCGCTCGAGATATGGAGGACCTGCAGATGCTCCAGATGGACCTCGGGGTGAGGAGCCAGCTCCGCGCGAGATGTATGCGGCATATCTGCGATGTAAAGCTCCTCGAGCAGCGGCGCTTGAGAGAGTATGCCCAGCATTGTAAGCGCAGCTCGCCCGATCCTCGGCTCACCTAGCTGGAGGCTCAGAAAACGCAACTGTGGCGCACGTACGGGGAAGCAGCAGAAGTGAAGCGATAGTGTATGGAGGATCGGTAGGCTGGGTGTAGATTCTGGTTGAATCTGAGCGACGCTGAGGTCTTCCAGACGTGGTAGAGTTCTCCCGTCGAAGACCGCAGACAGCGGCGGATATGCAGCGGAATGTGCGAGAACGCGTACAATTTCAATGTTCTGAACCGCGAGATTGAGCTGATGTTGAGTTAGAGTACCATATTGAGAAGCAAGCGTTGTTTGAAAGACCAAGGGAGCTGTACGGGCGCGTTCAAGTAGAAGATCGGTCACAGAAGGTGACTCGAAAGCACAGACAATCTCTGCCCATAGTTCGGCTTGTTCGAGTGCAGCAGTTCGCCATGCCCTGCATACATGCGTAGTTTGGCGGATCCAGCCATATGGCGATGCCGAACCGACTGGGTCGAGGTCGGCGAGGGCCTTGAATACTGCGTACAAGATGTCTTGCGGAAGGTTTGCAGCAGCCATCCTACTTGGGCTTGAAGGTGTACTGTTCAGTGACTAAGCTACACTAGACAACAGAGACTCCGTACTTGACGCAGCACACAAGGTGCACTTGACTCTGAGATCTGATGGGCGAGTTCAAACTGCGATCGCTGGAAGAGCTGATCCTTATACACTTACTGGCAGGATCAAGGGATGCGGAAAGAGGCGGAAAGAAGCAGGGCAAGTGATGGACGTCTGGACAGCGTTGATTCACCTGGGTACGAAGACTAAGGGCATGCCCAGTGAAGGCTTCCGGATTACCCTTTGCCCAACATAGCGTAGCTCACTATTGGGAGCGCGCACTAGGCGCAGCAAGACTGGAGATGAGCTCCGTGCGCGCGTTAGCAATGCAAATATATTGATTGGCGATAGAGGTTGATAGTGGTACTACGCAGTGCATGTCAAGCAAGAACACTAGAGCGCTGCGTCATTCAAGGATATTAGTACAATCAAGCAGCGTATTCGGCGTTCTCGGGGCAGTCGCGCGCGATCTAGCGAGGGTTCAGTCCGTCAGTCTATAGTTCGGGAAAAACGACAGAGGCGATACTTACGTGGCCCTCCTGCTGGCACTTGTAGCATGTCTTGGCACGGTGAACCGGGGCACCTCCTTCGGCGGCACCGGGCGCAGCCAAGCAATCACTGGGTCTCTAATCAGACCATGAAAATAGACATTCAGCTAGGAGCGAGCTTACCGAGCCATATGGTTCGGTCCACCGCAGCGGTAGCACTTCACGGGCGGAAGGGCAGCGCGGTCAAGCCCGCGGCCAGGAGGCGGGGCGCGCGAAGCAAAGCCCCCAGCGCCGGCAGCGTTGGGGCACTGGCGCGCAATATGGCCAAACCGGCCGCAGTTCTATGAGGGTATCTCGTCAAGCAGCATCTAGGGTGCAAGCTTGGAGGGACGAACGTAGCACTTCTGGTTACCACCAGCAAGGCGGAGGCTGGGGCACTCGGCCTGGATATGGCCCACTCCGCCGCAGGAGTAGCACTGCTTAGTCGCGACAGTACGCGGCTGAGGACACGCCGCCGACTCATGGCCAGGCTGGCGGCAGTTGTAACAGAGCCTCTCCTGCGAGGTGCAACTCTCCGCGATATGGCCCACTTTGAGATCATCAGAGCCTCGTTGATAATCAAGCGCAAGTGAAAGGGCTTACAGTTTCCGCACTTGAAGCACCCCTTCCTCGAGAACTGGTACGCCATTTTTATTTATAAGGATAGATCGTAACCCGCTACTGCCGTCCCGTCAGCATCATAAGACCGATGGGCGCTAAGCGCTAAACAACCTACCTCAGCCCACGACCTGCTACCCTGCTTCTTCAATCCCTCCGCCTACGAGCGAAAGACAAGTGACGATGAGGAGGATGTGATGGTTCTGGATAAGCCTAAGGCCGACGCTCCAATCGCATGCGCATCCGATACTTCGGGCCGTTCGGACCGCGCCCCGCGCTGCCACTGACGGCGATGATTGTCAGTTGCCTCTTGCCTCAGAGGTCGAACTCGGTCAAGTCACTCCACTTACGCTCGCTGTCGCAGAGGCTCGTGTGGTTCACACGTATTCCTATTGCGATGCCGTACATCGTAGCCATGGATCTTCGTCGGAGTTCCTTTCGAGTGGCGAGAGCGCCTTCTCGACGGTCATCGTCCATACTAGTCCATCTCCATCCCCCCTTGACTCTAGCGTTCTGCAGGAGTCAGCCACACGGAGAGTACTGAGTATGAATGTTCTTCCAATTGGTTTAGCTAGTCCTACAGCTCATCTGTCTTGGAAGCCCGTTTTCGTACTCCGACTGCGACCTGGTCCCGGCACCGTGTAGGCAGTAGCGCCGAGAGCGCCGTCTTGAACCTGATAATCTGCATCTGCCCGGGAACATCGACGTTGCGTACCCCTCTCGACCATATGCCGAGCACGGCAAGACGGCGTGTCCTGCCCTTCGTTGCGACGATGGTGCTACTCACTCGGCTCTTCCCGAATGCTGTCGATGTGCCCTGGACGCGATGCGAAGGAAGGACGGGGACCTGACTGACGGCCGTTCACATCACGACCCTCGGTTCCGTACCACTCCCTTGGACACCGCGAACTCCGCCACTGAAGTCCTCGTGTTGCGACGCGTTTCCGAGCGATGTTTGGCAGCGAGCTTACGCCTGGCACCGCTGGAGCCACCCGTGTGCTCATATGAACTTACAAGTCCGAAGACGTTCGTTCTCTGTGAAGCGGTCTTTCAAATGACGAGAAGCGCTGAAGGCCACACCGGGCCGCTTCCCGCGCCACGCCCTACTTGGGTACAAAACACCATGCGGACAGCTTCTTCTCTAGGTCTAGGGCTTACTGCGTGCTGAACAAGTGGATGGCTCCCCTGTAACACCGGGCGCTCCGCGCCCTCGGGAAATGCCATTAGCGTATAAAGATGGAAGATGCCTTCCTTGACCGCAACACATCCCCCTTCACAACCCTCGGGTCCGTGTTTCGTCTACACCTTTCTTGTCCTAGACTCATCCTTTCCCCTCCACAGTCTTCACAGTGCATCTCGCCTTGCACAGATCAGCTACGCGTGGTTGCGTGCCATCCGCTTCTTATAGGGCTGCCCGTTGGGCTTGTGCGAGGTATGCGCTCTTTCGATCCTTGTTTTCTCCCGATTTTCATGCTCTTGTGGCAGAGTGGATCTTTTGCAAGCTCTTCCGGCAGTCCGATAAGACGTGTGGACGTGACCAGTCGCAGACGATCTTTGCAGTCGGGCCGCTTTGTGCAGGTGCGTTACTCACCGTTGGCGATGACAGACAGCTTGCTCATCCAGCCATGTCTACGTTAGCCAAGGACCCTTTTTATCTATCCACATCCTATACCTTCAGTCCTATTCCAGCTTCTGCTATTCCGAGTCGCTCTTAAGCTCAACCTTCGACGTCTTTGATGCACTGGACATCGCCTCCCGACGCGCACAGAATACCTCCGTTTGACCGCGTGCCATACGCTTCTTATAGGATTGCTAGTCGGCCTTAGCCTAGGTGAGCTATCTAGCTGCGCATCGCATACGCTAGACACTTAGACCCCCCTTCAAGGACCCAGGACCCTGTGCCCTTATCCAAGTTCTGCCATCAATTTTATAAGACGTGTTGACGCGGACAGTCGTAGCTGTGCTGTGTGCTCTGGAGGTCTTGTCCGGGTCAGCATTTCTCCTCGCCTGCGCGCATCGGACTTCCAAATCTGATGCTTTCTCAAAGTATCCCCTTCAGCTTCTGCGGCGCAGAAGGCGAGACGAGTTCTTGCATTCTTTCCTATACTTCACTCTCCCTACGACTTCTTGCCATACTGTACAAATCAATCTACCATTTACTTTCCCTGCCGTCAACGAGTGTGTGTTTGCGATTGCATCGACTGGGTGAAACGAAAATACGAAGGAAATATACATCCGATACGCGCTCACGTGTTCTGCGCGTCAAATTTTGATTTCATCGACGCGTCGATCTTCCCGCAAACCATCATGTCCATTCCCGTCGGAGCCGCCGCCTCAGTCCTCAAAGCATCCGATCCGGTCCCAGAAGACGCCGTATCAGTCAAAGGTCCGAACTTCGAGGAGCCCCTCTCCCTCGATGCCTTCCTGAGCTCGTATGAACGTATCGGCTTCCAGGCGACGAGCTTCGGAAAGGCCGTCAACGTCGTGAACAAGATGGTAGGTAGAGAATATCATAATAGATTGGTAGATGTGCGTGCTTATACTGGTAAGTAGCGGAAGTGGAGACTGTCCGATGAGCCCGTCGCGGATGACGAGGACGAAGAGTTTCGGGATCCGGCGGTACGGGCTAACGTCAAATGCAACATCTTTCTGGGCTACACGTCTAATCTGATCTCATCCGGTTTGCGCGAAGTCATCTTGTATCTCGCCAAGCATAATCATATCTCGTGTATCGTCACGACTGCCGGAGGCATCGAGGAGGACTACATCAAGTGCCTCGGCAAGACGTATCTTGCCGACTTCAACCTCGACGGCGCGGACCTGCGCAGGCGCGGTATGAACCGGATCGGCAACTTGGTCGTTCCGAATGACAACTACTGCAAGTTTGAGGACTGGCTTACACCTATCTTGGACGAGATGCTGTTGGAACAGAAGCGAGACGGCACGATCTGGAGCCCGAGCAAGTTCATCCATCGCTTAGGCAAGGAGATCAACGACGAGGAGTCTGTCTACTATTGGGCATACAAGGTGGGCACCCACGAGCTTACGAACTGAAACATGCCTGGTGACACGTTTTGACTAGAACAATATCCCAGTCTTCTGTCCTGCGCTGACCGACGGCTCGATCGGCGACATGATCTACTTCCACTCGTTCAAGAACCCCGGTCTTGTGCTCGACATCGTCAGCGACATTCGCGCCTTGAATGAGCTTTCCCGCAAGTCTCGAAAAGCGGGCATGATCATCCTCGGCGGTGGTGTCTGCAAGCACCAGATCGCCAACGCCATGCTCATCGTAAGCTTATTGCACGGTGTCTGAGATCATGTTATTGACAAGGTTTCAGCGCAACGGAGCAGATTACTCTGTCTACATCGTAAGTCATTCGTTGATCCTGAGCATGAGCAGGGCTTGATGGTGCTCGCAGAATACGGGACAAGAGTTCGACGGCTCAGATTCTGGAGCAAGACCTGACGAGGCTGTCTCCTGGGGCAAAATTCGCGCGGGTTCGGAAGCCGTGAAGGTGAACAGTATACTTTTGGACACTACATCGCACGCTGACAGACGCTAAAGGTATATGCTGATGCAACATTGGTGTTCCCAATGCTCGTTGCCGCAACCTTTGCGCGTGATGCTGCGCCGGCGTCAGCATCATCTTGAAGTTACATGAGGAAGACTCGTAGGATGTACGATTGTGAAGGTAGAATGCACAGTGTCCGTGGAAGCAACTATTGTAATACACCTAGAACGAAAGCATTACAGCTGTGCGAGAGTAAGGACAACAGTTGGCAAGGGTAAGAATGTACTGTGCGGGTGACGGCCTAAGCAGAGCTCTTCAAAACAAGTGGGCGGCACCATATCAAGGCAAGCTTCCCCGACGATTGCTCGACGAAGCGCAAGTCGAAGACATCTCATACGACCCAAGACTCCCCGCCTTATCCCGCGGCCGCGAGAACGCCAGCGACGACAAATTCGTATACGACGACTCGGGCACGCTGATCGTCGTCAGCTCCGGCGCCAGCACGGAACCGCCGCTACATCCGAATCTTTGGTCAGCCTGGCTGTCCGTCACAGTAAAGGTGGGATAGAAAGGTCTTACGGCGTCGGGGCACTGTCCGAAGGAGCGAGTTGCGTGTTGTAGAGCCCGCGCGTCATGCGCGTGGTGCCGACTCCTACTAGGACGTATCCTACTGCTAGTCCCATCTACACGCGTAAATAAGCAGGCGTCGGACGTATAGCTCGAGATGAAAATGAGAGCACGTACGGCTAGAATGGCGCCTGTCCGACCCGATCGTCGTCAGTGACTGTAGATGCATCGTAGCTAAACTTCGGACGCGGGCTCACCGTTGACTTCCGCCCATACGAGTATCAGCAACGGAATGCCCGTAAGCGCCACCGCCACGACGAGCAGAACCAGACTCTGCAACACGTCTCAGCATTCTGACCTAGCAGCCTCTGATAGCAACGCCAACGCACCTGCGTCCACAAGAGACTCAAAAGCCCCGACTTGCGCGCCACCCGATGATGCCGCCACAGACCCGCAAAGATTAGCACGAGGCACAGAAAGTCGACGGTGTACGTCGTCGTTATCGATACCTTGATCCCCGTGGCGTGGTTCGGGCCCAGGTCTACGCATGCGTATGCGATTTCGCCGGGGAGGCGGATGGAGCCGACGCGTAGGACGATGGTTGCTGGGAGTTCGGATCAGTGGTGGAAGGGTGATTGGTATGGTGGAGGGCGGCGGACTGACCGTATATTATGGCGCTTAAATATGCGACGAGACCTAGGGTGGTGGCTATGATGACCCATAGCGCTCGAGACCAGATGGCCACCCTACATATAAGGTCAGTACAGTGATGACGACCTGCTAGATCCCACTCACGCTCGCGCGGCCATGAGGTAGGCGGCCGACAGGAGGAGCGGGTAGGGCAGAAACTGCAGATGGTACACCCTCAATAAGCGTGCTCCAAACTGATTGGGAGGTGTGCTCACATAGCTAAAGCGTACAACGAACTATCATTCGTCACTTGAACGTGAGCACCTCCCTAAGGACCCGACCAACCAGTTCATACGCACCCGATCACATGGGATACTGCCGACGGTCGTCACGGACATGATCACCGCTAGGAGAGCAGCATTGCGACATAGAAGATATGCCTTCAGAGGGTGTGAGCATAGCTCTCGAACGGGATAGAGAGCACGCACCCAGGTGGTCAGAGGCCACCTCCACGGCCGCGCACCCCTCACCAACCGCCAATCGTGATCGAGATGCGTCACATACTCCCACCTATCACGAACAAAGACACCATCAGCGCCCCTCCAAAGTTCCGAAGTCGAAGAGAGCGCGGACGCACGCATATAGCCCGAGGTTGGTGTACTGCAGTCTGTCAAGCGCGACTATTTCTGACATGAGCTACCCCGCACTTCGCCTGGCACAGCATAGGCGCAACGCACCTGCGTATCTGGCAGTCACCTCGCCCGCCGTTGCATCCATGACATCCTCGTCCCGCTCGCGTTCGTCCTAACCTCAAGCAGAACGGGGGGAAAAGAAGAGCGAAAGCCGATCCCGGAGCGAGCGTATGGCACTTGATATACGGTCCAGGCGGCCACTGATCGTGGGTACTGCTTCGATATGAATTACAGGTCTGGAGAAGCTTCGATCGTGTGCGTAGTTACCGACCGCCGGCATCGAACGGAGAAGTTGTAGGCTATCAGTTGCGTATTGATCGCACAGTTGGCGCGCGCGCCGAGGTTGCGCAGTCTAAGTTCTAACGCCGTCGCAGCCTTTGTCTAAGTCTTGGAACCGCTCGCTGCGTTGGGAGCACTCTGCACGACGACAGGAATAGATCAACTCTTGCTAGCTTGGGATTCTTCGTACCGGCTATTCGAAGTCAGCGGATGGATTGCGTGCCCAGAAAAGACATCGCGTGCGAGCGCAGGGGCGACATGCCAGTGTAGATTTCGGGAGCTGTGGCAGGTGCCCTGAGCTAGAGCGTGCATGTAACAGCTGCTTGCAAAACGATAGGCCACCGGGGGGTCCTACACATAGACGGCTTT